TGTCAACGCCTGAACCCGACCCGTTTTTTAAACCGGGTCAATTTATGAAACCAACTTGATCCATTTGAAAATCTGTCGGGTTCAACCCGAATTTTCCAGGTCGGATCAGGGATCGGATTTTCCGTTGTCGTGTCAAATATTGACACGGACCTAATTGTTGGTGTTTACTCCTCATCCCGACACCAAAAATATCTTGTCAAAAGAAAAGCGAAGTCTTCGTTCATAAGAACTCATCGAGTGTATTCATTATTAACTTTGCTTGGATTGTATTAAAAATGGCTCTCTTTTCCAAATAAATTTAGTTCTCCCTTTTTAAAGCGCTCAATTTTTTTGGGGGGGGGCTCCTCCTTTCTCCTTTTTTTCTTTTTCATCACTCACCTTTCATATTTTTTAAAATAATTATGTTGTGTAGTTAACCTAGATTTCTTTTTCTCAACTTTCTTCTTATCTTTTAGCCCTCTCATGAAATATATATTGATATATTATATATATTATATAATATATATATACTATAATATATATATAGTATATATAATTATATATATATATATATATATAATATAGATAAAATGGCCTGACCAACAATTAAATAATTAGAATGCAAATCCCACTTGAAATGAATGATTTAAGAGTCCACAAAACTTATTATACCATTGTTGATTCCACATCTTCTTCTTCTTTCTTTACAAAATCTAATATATTATAGATAGTAATTGACAGTTCTGGAAATAACTTTTTTTTTTTATATATTATATTTTGCCAAACAATTCAAGACATACACCTATGGGATTTTGATTATGCCAATAATTTATTTTTGATAGTTAGCATTACTAAGAAAATTAGAATATATTACTTTTTTTAATATTGATCAGGATTTCTGTTATGTGATTTTGTAAGAATTTCGAAATAAATTAATATTTATTAATAATTATATGACAAAATAATAGAATATTAAGATACTGATATTTGATCAGTCCGGCTAATATTATATAAACACACACATACATATCACCCGACCCGAAAATTTCGGGTTCGGGTCAACCCGAACTGAATCGGGTCGGTTCAGGTTAAGGATTTCGACCCGTTTGTAAAAAACTGGGTCGGGTTCGGGTTGACCGGAAACCCGAAATCAATCCGCGTTTGACCATTTTTAATTAATTTAGGAGGGTTTAAAGGATTTTTATAAAATAAGTAAATGATATTTCAAAAAATTATAACTTTGTTGTCCAAATTAAATTAATCTTGATTTATTTTAAATTAATTGAAGTAAAATCCTACCTTAATTTGATTTAGATTTAAATAAATTAAATTAAATAAAAAATTAATAAAATATACCAGAAGCGGGTCGGGTGCGTACGTGTTGACCCGAACCCGAAGCGGGTTGGGTTTGGGTTCGGAAAACCGACCCGTTTGTAAAAACGGGTCGGGTTGAACAGTATCGGGTCAATTTCGGGTTGATCCCGAACCCGACCCGTGACCCTTTTTTGACAGCTCTACACATACGTATGTATATCTATGCAAGTAATTCATTTCCTCTCTGTTCTCTAACTCTAATCTTTTATAACCTATTAGTAGTGTTGAGTCTCTTACGAATAAATTTAAATCCAATAAAAATACTATTTGATTTGAAGGTATCGAAACAAAGAAAATGAAAATATAATGAATATCATAAAAGAATTGAAATGGAATTTATCTTCACTTATTCATTTGGTTGAAGAAATTGAGTCTATAATATATATTTTTTTCTTATTTGATTTATGAGAAATTTATCCTTATTTTTTAATAAGGGAAATTATAAGTCATAAGAATGGTTCAATAAATTTTTTTTTCTATTTTCATTAAATTGGATGGATAATCATCAATTAAAATATGTGACCAATTTTTTTAAAATAAATTTGACTATATGTGCTTTATATTGAAATAAAACATCAAATATTAAATTGAGAAGTAAACATCAAATATTGTTTATCATTAAAAATTCTGAAATAAAATACATTTATATCCCAATCAATTCTTACAAATCAAATGAATCATGCAATTTTTTTAACCTCTATTTAAATTAACACTAATTTATCTATCTAATAAATGCGTGTTTTTTCAACTCTTGATTAAAAATATTTAAATTTTTTTCCGTCTTATTATCGATGAAAATTTCTTCCACATCGTCCATCTAATTTAATCAATTTTTTGCTTATCATGCTCAATTTAGTTATATAATTTTTTCTTTTTTATTTTTATGGCCCAACATTTAAGTCTATATGATTTAATATATGCATATGACTAATAACATTTAAGACTTCGTTTGGAACAGCTTTATTGAAGACTCATATGGTCTCAATTTAGTTATTTGAAGTTTTGAATATAATTGGCTGACTTGAGGAGATAAAATCATGGAAGGCACCAAACTTCCTTGTTGCTCCAACCACTTGGCTTGAAATTGCATTGTTGTAGTTGAGTAGTTGTTGACTTAGATTTTATTTGGGAAAACAATTTTTTTATTGCTTCTTAAAACAGCTTTTTAATTTAAAATTAAAATTTTATTAAAAAAAACTACTTTAAGAAGCAGTAAGAAAATCGTCCCAAACGAAACCTTAAGAGTCCATTTGACATGGTTATAGATTTTTACAAAGATGATTATAAAATTATTGCAGTAAAAATAATTTTTTTTTGAAGAGTTTTTGAAGCTATCATCACTACGTTCTGCAGCTTTCTCATGATTACCACAACATAGCAAATTTAGGCTTCATTTGGGCCAGCCAGCTATTTTTCTGCTTTTTAAAGCAACTTTCTAGTGGAAAAAAAATTAATTTTTAAACTAAAAAACTGTTTTAATAAGCAGTAAGACAGCTGTCCCAAATGAAGCCTTAGGCTATCTTTGTAAAGCTGTTGTAAATAAAATAACTATTTAAGTTGTTGTGAACAGCAATTTTTTAGTACAATTTTTAAAAAAAATAACAAAAATAATAATAAAATAAAAAAATAATAAGAAAAGTATCTCAAATGAAACTTTAATTATAAAAAAAAAAAAAACTTCTTTCCACAAAAACTATAGTGTTAATGCACTCAGATCATCAAGATGATTATGATGGGTAAGATCAGACAATTGAGTCAAAATTTTTACCTAAAAAATATACATGAATGTTTTTTATTTCATTGTCATTATGTCATATCTAAAAATGAACTGCAGAAATGTCCAGCTTCTCGAAAATATTCAGATAAGCCTGGCCGCATGAAGCTAGTTGCAATTTTCAAAAATTTCAGCTCAAATGTTTCATGCAGAAAAAATTACACTGATTTTTCTTCATATTAGACAACCCCACATCATTGCCCAACATATGAGGACCATCTTCTCAAGCATCTAATCTCTCTTTTTACCAAGGTAGACTGGCCAAGCTAATTGCTCATTGCTGCCCAATGTCCTACATTTGCTTTGATTGTTACAAAGGTTCACAATATTTGCCAACCATCCACATCCAACATTTATATTCTCAATCATTTAATCTCCCCTCCTATTAGAAGGAAAAATTATTACGGGCGGCGTTCGTATTCGTCTGGAGGCGAATCTGAACGCGCCACGTCACCTGGGGTGACGTGACGCGTCCAGATTCACCTCTGGACAGTTCGGATGCCGCACGTAATAATCTCTGTATTAGAAGACACGCCATTACAAAACATCCAATGTGACTATTGCCCAATGACTAACATCCAACATTTATCATCCACCGACATCTAAGATCATCTTCCCAAACACTAAATCTCTAATATCATCAAAAGAATGACCAAGCTAACTATGTACTACCTCCCACATTTGACATCCCATTAAAACTTCTAAAGTAATTAATTAAAAATTTGTATCTACATATATCTCTTCTTTATGCTCCTCATATACTCATAATAAAAAAAAAAAGAAATATTTTCTTCTAAGCTTATTTCCTTTCACTTGATTCAAAAACCCAATCAAAATGTCTACAATTCAAACCCAACCCTCAAATCATAATAAGATAGCTAAATTAAACCCTGAAACCTTGATCGAGAATAGCATTGCTCAATATCAATAAATAATCCAAAAATAGTAATTTAGCAAAGTCCATTTCAATTGAGCACAATCAAAATCACTCACACGTCGCAAACTAGTTCATGTTATACGTAAATTCACCAAACTAAACAGAAAAGGCACATTAAATCATACAATAGTACAATGCAGCGCTAACCTCATCTGAACAAACATAATGAAGAGTCAAGCCCAAGCACCGAAGCATGGTTTCTTCCCAGATTACTTCCACGGAGACATTCCAAGTTCATCGCCTGAGAATGATCAATGAAAAGATTCACCTGGAAATGGTAAAAAAACAAAAAAAAATTAGCGATAAAAACAAACATGAGAGCACAAGTTATAGCACAAAATCAAAGGCAATTTACTTTTGGTCCATATCTCTTCACAAACCACTCAGATGTCTTTGCATTGGAAGCTTCAAACATGGTCTTCTCCAGGCCCAAACGTCCTACGATTTTTGCAATTATGTCCGTGCGCAGATCTTCTGCATATTTGCAAACATCATCAGCATCGATCATGATCATGTCAGCCCCCGCTTCTAAGCATCTCTCAGCCTTTCTGATCAGTAAATCCACATCTTCAACAATTTCTGGAAGAAGGCAAATATCAAACTGTGCTGCTTTTTATATATATTGAACTGGATAATCTAGTATTACTTTAAGATTAGAAAACTTCGTTTCGGGAAATATGGTCAAATGTGTTCTCAGCCAGACTTTGGACAGACGTCACGAAGTAAATGTGATTGTATCATCTAATAGTGAAACTCTTAAGGTTCTGCCAAACTTGAAGGGATTGCAAGTGAGTACATGTGATGTAGAACATCATAGCTAAAGTTTTCCTTAGGACTAGCTTATCATAGTTTGTTACATGATTTTTAAAATATTCTTACTAGCTTATATAAGCAAAGGGGGAGATCCTTGATGAATATTAATCCCTTTTGAAGCTTTAAGTTTGGGTTTGTTCCCTGGATTGGGAGTTTCTTCTAGCAGATCCGATTTTTTCGCCGATCAACTGCATCAGTTGGTACCAGAGCCTAGAGCATGCGAAGTATGACGGATTAACGAAAAAGATGAGCTATCGATGATGATCTACGCCGAAGAAAATGAGCGGTCGACGAAGATCAATGCCAAATAAGATGGGAAGTTGACGACTATCGATGTCAAAGAAGATGGGTGGTTGAATACTATCCTCCATTCCAACTTCCGCTCCAATGGGGAGATCTGCTGCCCGACCAGGGACCCTCCACCAATGCTTCATTCAATCGCAAACAAATCTGCAATCAACCCGTCGTCGTCCACAACAACCCTATGCTCCAACTTCCACTCCAATGGCGAGATCACTGCCTGACCAACAACCCTCCGCCATTACTTCATGTGATCTCAAACGGATAAGCAATCAATCGACCGTCATCAACAACGATCCTCTGCTCCAACTTCCACTCCGATGGCGAGATCCTTTGCCAACCACGCAGTTCGCAACCATCATGCATCCATCATCCGCGACTCACCTCCGCTCTAACAAAACTAACATAACTACATGCATGTACAAAGGGAAAATATGCTACATTATTATTATTATTATTATTATCCACACATTTGCTCCTGCACGGCACTCCCGCACTCCAGCATCGAGCACACTCCGGCTCGCCAGTTTTTCCCCCGACACCAGTGTGCACTCTGACCTGCAACTTCGCACGAGCCACCCGTTCTTGATCTTGCTCCTTTTGATCTACTGCTCCGACACATAACAACCCCTTCACCTCCTGGACTCCACCTGAAGTCCAGCCCATGCGCAAAACTGCGTGTTCATCCAACCCTCCATTTATTCACGTCTTCCGCGCAAGAAACACCCGACCCATCCAGGTGGTCTTTTTGTTCAAGAAGACGAAAAAAAAAATCCGCACAAGCTCCTATTCGAAGACCTTGACCATCAGGCCAACTTCGTCATTTGCACACGGCTCCCAAACATTCATCTCAACACGATCTAGCACGCTTCGGCCCGTTCACATAAAATTATCCTATCGCGTGCACCACACCACGCCTACCACACCTCCCGATCACAGCAACAGGCCACCATTCTCTGTGACTGTGCATTTACACGCGTGAAACTCGCACAGTCTGCTAACTTACGTGCACACCTTACACACGTTCATGGACCTGCGGACCAACCTTTTGAGGGAACCTAGGCACAAAGCTTTCAGGTGCGCGTGTCCGCCTGCCGATCTCGATTAGGCTCCGCCAGACTGCTGTGGCGCTGCAATTCATCCGCTAGTTGCGATACTGTTGTCCACTATCAAGCCTGATTCCGCCTCTTGTTCAGTCCCGAACGAGCCTCCCGCGACACCTATCCACTCCGAACCCGCATTTGCACGGAGCCCTGACTCCCTCCAATCTTACTCGCAAACGACACCCGCACAGCCTGCTTTCGTGCTAAACTTATCGTCTGCCTCCCTCTCTTTCTAGACTAGAAGAACCTTCCTCCTTCCCTGAGATCTCCTCAATGAGGCTCTGATACCACTTATTATGAAATCTTGGGGGGGAAGCTTAAGCTTCTTAGAAGAGAGAGAGAGAGAAAGAGAAGAGAGAAGAGAGTGCATAGGAAAAAACCTTCTTCCTTTATTTAATGTTGGCTATTACAAGGGGGCATCCTACATACATCACCTATAAGTTATGTATAGAGATTTACATAGGTGGTGTTTGCAAAACAATATAACTTAAAACTGGACGAATATATATATATATATATATATATATATAAGGTTATCAAATAATTCCACTTCTTCAGAACAAAATAAGAGGAAGTATAGAGTGTTATTTTACTAATAGACAGCCAAATTACTTTCCTATAAGTGATTCCACAACTTTAATTTCGCAAGTGAGAATTAACACTTCATTTACTTGAGCTTTTACCATACCCGTGTTTACTTGACAAGTGGGGCTACGACAAAAAACAACAAAAACATCAAGCCTTTATCCCACTATGTGGCGTCCGCTTCTATAAATTAAAAGTTGTTTAGCCTATCTAACAATTAGCTGAATTGTTCATAGAGATAAGTCTGCTGGTTATTCAATGCTCCTTTTGAAACACTCTGAAATGAATGGGCGTTATGGAATTATAAAATACAATTTGCCATGGTGTAGCCGTGTAGGTCTACGGCAGGACAACATATCTAAATTTATGTCTGTTAGGGGTGTTCAAGCGGTAATTAAATATTTAAAGCGAATAGTAGAATCACTTGTTCAAAGATCTCATCAACCATATAGCATTGAATTTAATCAATAATTAATTTAAAAGTAATCCTAGCACTCTCATGTTAATAACATAACAAATTAGCAATTACTGTTAATCTAGTCTATCAACAGTGTTACTAAGATCCGTAAGTGTTTCTGAATTTGAAATCAAGTGTTAGCATTGCCCTTATTTACAGTTAATAAACAAACTGGGAAAGGGAAATCGAGCATATTGCTAATTAAAATATAGCCTTTTGTTGAGAATCACTGAAAGTGGTTATAAGCAGCATATCTATATGTAAGCTACGCTGATGGATTGAAGAGGATTTCTTTACCATAATTTTTCTGTACTGGAGCAACATAAGCTCCAAATGCCCTATTTCCAGCCGTTGGAATATCAGCTCCTTCGAACTTCACTGAGAACTGTGGCTTCGCTTTAAGGCCAACACTCTTTATGAGGCGTACGAATCTCAAGAGAGACTCTTCTGGGATCTTAAGCGAAGCAGCATTAAGCTCAATTGTGTCAAATCCCAAATTTTTACATTCCTGAAAATATTCAATTAAACACTAGTAATGCCGTTATCGAACTGAAAAGGCCTATTAGATTCCCAATATTGTGAAATATAGAGAAAAGAAGAAACCTCCACATAATGTTTGAAAGCAGCAGGCCCTTTCCGTAGTATATGTTCTGCCCAATCACCTGTACTAACATATACATCATGCCTATGTGCAAGGTCAGTAATTTCTTTGACAAAATCCTTGGGCATCAAACTGTGTGAACCACCATAAAATTTCAAACCGTCAACAAATTCTCCAATGGATTCTAGTATATCCTGCAGGAACAGAAAGAAGGTTTTGGTTTGTCGTCCATGCTTTAAACAAGGTAAGAATTTCAATATTACTATGAACATGACATCATAAAAGTAGACATAATAGATGCATCCAGTACTAAACCGGAAAATCCTTTCATGCAAGTGAACCAAATGTTCCAAACTCTTTTAGCAGTCCTTGATTTGGAAGAAAACAAGATTTTATCGTTACATAAATTTTGAAGGCTTCAATCCTATGGGGTTGCTTTTGCAAAAGATATAGTGTTAAATTTGGCTAATTTATTATTTCGCCTCTCGGCACATAATTCGGCACTGCAAGCCTCCTCGGCATCCTTCACATTTTAAAGAAAATCTGATTCTTAAGTGGTGAAGCTCATTCATATGCTCTAGCCATTTCTCATTTTTAACATAAAATCCATCTAGTTGTTGATGATAGTTTGGTTCTCCAATTCTATGCATTCCAGAAAAAAAAATCATCTCAAAGCGATTTCATGTAATGCATATTTATAAGATTATTCATGCCCCCTCGATAAGAAATTGTGATGAATAAGCTTCCCAAATTCCTAGATTATGAATTGCAAATGATACCGTTTGCTTAGAGATCTTGGCAGTAAAGTTTGAAGAATCTTCAAGTATCAAAGATGCGACATATATCCAATTGTCTCGAGCATCGTTTTAAGGTATGGAGCAAAGGTGTACATCAAACGGATGCTTTTCGAGACTTTGAAAATTTGAGCAAGTGCCTTCATCTAATATCCTCCACAATTATTGCTTGAGACGGTTGAATGAAACCCAATGCAATCCATATTCAGACCAACTCATCTTTATTAAACGTATAATCTCGTCGAAATATAGAACAAAAATGTGAAACAATTCTGTAGATGTTTTAGCAGAACTTTATAGCTTAGCCTCAAAATAGAATTCTAACCCAATAAATTACTTTTTTAGAACTTCCCTGTAATCCCTTTCATCCAAGTTATCCTCCAGAACACCACCGATGACTTTAGTCGCCAATGGAGATCCTAAAAGATTTTTAACTATTTCTCCAATAATGACTTTTAATTAAATATATATTCTTGATGCCAACGACGTTCTAGATGCGATGGCGCTGTCCGTTTGTCGATTGGACTTCGTTTGTGCATCGTCGAGGCCTCATTTCCCTCGTAACGCATGTCTTTGGATCATACTTAAATCATTTTTGAAATCTGCGACGCCACCTCAAACAATCCAATTTAATCAAATAATATATATATTCTGAATGTTGACGATGTTCTGGACGCAATGACGCTGTCCGTTCGTCGATCGGACGTCGTTTGATTATCGTCGAGGCCTCGTTTCTGTTGTAGCGCAGACCTTTATATTATATTTGCATCGTCTAGAAATTCACCACCCTCTTGGATAATCCAAATTTATCAAACAAAATATATTTTTTGAATGTCAACGATGTTCCGGACGCAATGGTACTGTCCGCTTGTCAATCGGACGTCATCCGAGCATCTTCGAGGCCTTGTTTTCGTCGTAACGCAAGCCTTTATATCATATTTGTATCGCCTAGAAATTCACCACCATCTCAGATGATCAAAAGTTATCAAATAAAATATATTTTTTGAATGTCAACGACGTTCCGGACGCAATGGCGCTGTCCGTTTGTCGATCAGATGTCGTTTGAGCATTTTCGAGAGCTCGTTTCCATCGTAGCGCAGGCCTTTATATCATTTTTTTTGAATTATCTAGGAATTCACGACACTATTGATGACCTTTGCAACAAATGGAGATCCAAATAGCGTTTCAATCATCTTTCTAACGGTGGATCTTAATCTTTTATAATCATTAGGATTCTTCTTATCAGCAAATGCATGAGAGTTGAGGAGTAGAAAATGCCCATTTTCCTCTAGGCCCGCTAATTTAATTATTTTCTCCTCCCTTTTAATTACCTTTGCAAATATTAGTGCAACTGAGTCTGTTCGAGTTGTTATCAAAATTTTACTTCCCAAACTTCCATAAGCCAAAGGGACGAGCACCTTCTCCCTTTTACTTTTATCCCCTTTTTTTATCATTCTCCCAAATGTCATCCAGCACAAGTAAGAACTTTTGGACTTTATCTCAGCCTCAAAGACTTAGTTTGAAGTGCCTTAAGCATCTCCAAAAGAGGCCTCTCCTTCTTAAGAGATTCCAACATATATGTAATGACTTTTCTTCACATCAAAGTCGTTGACAACACAAACTCAGATTTTAAGATCAAATTCCTTTGTCATTTCACCTTCATAAACATGTTGTAGGAGAGTTATATATCTTTTCCATTTGATTGCTTCTTCCACCAGTGCATAATAAAACCCAACACAATCCATATTCAAGCTGAATTATCTTTATTGAATTTAAGATTCATGGGCTTGTTGTAGGGGGGTCAACAATTGTATATCTCTCATGCAACATTGTTTCATGAAAGTGCTTGTACAGGGTAAAAACTAAAAAGTAAACTATAATAAAGCTAAATCCTCACCATCCATGCTCATATCAATGTTTCTCAAATCATTAATAATTGAACTAATTGAATTCATGTACTCTCTTTCATGTGAAACAAATAATCTCACTTCTTTTAATAGAGTTTGTGTTAATTAAATTGCTAATTAATTTGTGAATCAAATATTAATTGTATTTAATTTTATAATTTGCACTAGCATTTTTTACTTTAAATGCCTTTTTTTTTAATCTAACAATTTACTCTCAAGTGTAGCTTGTTTTCCTCTTTATTAAATAGGTGGGCGTTCGATGGAGAGGTATCAAGTAAACGAATAGAGCGGATGAGAAAATCATTTCGTAAGGAACTGAGAGTAGGTGCGAGAGAGAGGGTAGCGGGCGTAAGCAAGAGAGAGGATTTCTTGTGTGATTCAAGGGGGAATCAGAAGGAAATCTTGCACCCAAGTCTGAGAGGGAGAGAGGTAAGTATATTTGCACTTAACTCTATCATTTGGAGCTCCTTTGCAAGCGGTCGACGAAGGCTAGGGCAACATTGGGTAGCCGGTTCTTGCAAGGAGTTGAGGAAGTTGTAAGGTAGACAAAGAGGCAATCTCTTATTGGTTTTGGAAAGGCTTTTGATAAGGTGATATCTCTCTATTTTAATTTCTTTAAAAAATTTGTACCTTTTTGATAGATTTACAAAGATTCATTCATTGTAAGCTATTGTAAATTGTTTGTGCATTTTAATAAAAGCAGCTAGCCCTCTTTCTCCTTGTGGATGTAGGCATATTCGTGCCGAACCACGTAAATCTTTGTGTTCTTTGTCATGTGATGGCTGATTTTGTGTTTCTTGCATAAATCTAGTAGTAGATTGTGTAGTTTTGGCTTTATCTTGCAATTTAATTCAATATCTATTGCTTACAATGTGGTCCAAATAAAAGGTTTATTGATTGACAAGTACTCTTTAGTCATATTATGCAAGTTCTAGTGAAAGAAAGTTTCAAACTAATTAATAACTAATTGGTTACATTGCGATTTTATTTTGTAAATAAAATTAGTTAATTCTTAATTTACATAAACCTAGATTTCACTAGATATGATGTTTTTGTTCTAATTGTAGGTAAACAAGTTTGAAGTCTCTAAACCTTTCATATAAGAGGTTGGAAATACATATTTGTAACCTTGAAATAACAGGTTATTTTGCGTGATTCGAACATTCGGGTGAAAGTATTAGTGGCTTTTATTTAGAACAGTCTTGAGTCAGTTGGGTTTCAATAGTTTATAAGTTTTAAAAGTTTGCTAGAAAGATTTTAGCATTACCCAATGATTCTAGCTTGATATATAAATATTTTACAGTTGACTTCATGAGTTCATTCATCACACTAATTGGATTTTCATATAATATTTTTCACCCATTTTTCCTTATTTATCTTCAATCAATATTTTCAGGATCTTTGAACACCCCATAAATGCCTTAACAAGTCCACAAAAATACCACACTTCTTGATTTTTCCACAAGCCAAAATTCTTTAACAAATCAAATTTCTCGATCTCATGTTATCATTATCAATCTCAAAACCTCGCTCTAATATCAATTTATTATTAAGAGGTGTCAAATAACATGAAATAAAAACATCACCAAGAACAATAATTATGTGCCATAAGCCAACACAATGAATATGAATATTTATATGATTTGACTTCAATCAATCCTATGCCCTTGGAAGGGAGAGAAGATCCAATCCATTAGTTAGAAAATAAAAGTCCCAAAAGGTATTCACCAAAAATAAATGTTTGTGAACAATTTGTGGGTTATCTTATTCTTAAGATTTGGTGAGTATTTGTTTGCTTTAATACTTTGTGTAAATAACTAAGGCAATTTAGTTTAAACTAGATCAAGATGGTTTAATACATCTCTCTTTAGTTTATTATCATTGTTTTCTGTGGTTTTTTTTTTCAAGAGAGTTATGGAGCATAGGTTAAGGCGTGATACTAATGTTTCTAAAAATCAAGTTGGATTCATGCCGAGTAGGTCTGCTATAGAAGCAATACATTTATTGCGAGGTTTGATGGAGAAGTATAAAGAGAATAAGGAGGATTTACATATGATATTTATTGATTTAGAAAAAGCATATGATAAAGTTCCAAGAGAAGTGTTATGGAGAGTTCTAGAAAAGAAAGAGGTTAATAATGCTTATATTCAAGTCATTAAGGATATACATGCAAAAGTTGTTACTTGTTTTCAAACATAAGGTGGTTTGACCACTATTTTAGTTGGATTACATCAAGGATCAGTCATAAGCCTATATCATTTTGCTTTAGTCATGGATGCTCCCACTAGATATTTGCAAGAGGTTGTACCCTGGTGTATGCTTTTTGCTGATGATATTCTTCTTGTTGATAAAACTAGAGAGGGAGTCGAAGGAAAACTTAAATTACGGAGGTCAACCATAGATTCTAAAGGTTATCATTTGATTAGATCTAAAATCAAATATATATAGTGTAATTTTAGAAGTAATAGATTTAGTGGGGGGATTGTGACTTTGGGCGATCAAGTTATTAACAAGAGTGTATATTTTAGATATCTTGGGTCTATTGTTCAGAGTGATAGTAAAATAGATGGAGATATTATTAGTAGAATTCAAGTTGGATGGTTGAAGCGGAAAAATGCATCGGGCTTGTTGTGTGATAGAAAAGTCTCCCTCAAACTTAAGAGAAAATTCTATAAGATGGTAGTGAGACCTGCAATGCTTTATGGTGCAGATTGTTGGTCATTAAAAGAGAAGCATAATATTAAGTTAAGTGTTGCATAAATGAAGATGCTCAGGTGGATGAGTGGATTTATTCTTAGAGACAAGATACAAAACTAGTATATAAGTGAAAATGTTAAAGTAGCTCCATTGGAAGATAAGATTAAAGAGTTGCCTTAGATTGATATTTATTATTTCTTGGTATAAATATAAATATGTTATGAATAACAAGATATATGCATAAATCAATCAATTATAAAAATAAACCTAATCCTATCAAAATATTTGATTCACAATATACTACTAATGCACATGTGGTCTACCACAACATTGAACTGAACTTGTCCAATTCCAATCATCTTTTTCTCACTCATCATAATGAGGCTCGCTCCTCCAAGAAACTCCTACAATAGCTAAGCTCTTCCCTTGAACCTCCTCAAAAGGTATTTAATCATTTCCCTAAGCCTAAATGCAAAAAAATGAAGTTTGATGTTAAGTTTCCCTCATGTTAAGTTGATAGCCAATTGTAAACTCATTTCAAATAAGATGAAAAAGATTTTAGCTCCATATTCCCAACATGTACCTCCACCCCTTCCTCAGCTTCTATAAATATGAAGGGGGTTGATCTCATAAAGAACACTTGAAGTTAATGTCCCAAGAAGACATGTAATCAACATGGAAACATTATCCTCTATAAATTTGAGTTGATGCACTCATGAATCACACTTGAAGCTAAGGGTCCCGTGAGTGCAATGCCTCAACAGCAATGTCTTCAATAGTAGTTTGGCCTATAGTTCATGTTTCTTCTCGTGTCGTTGCTTAATGTCACGAACAAAATCTTGCAACCCTCCTAATAAACCTAAGCCAGCAGTGCCACTTACATGCACCACTTTTTGGCGTAAATAGGCTTTTTAATGATTTCTCTTTTGTTCATGACAGCATGTGTAGTTGAATAACAGGATCTTAGAATTCAAAGGACTATGATAGCTAGAATAGTTCGACACAAACCAATAAAAGTTATTAGACAACATCTAAACCATTGCCTAATACACATTATCATCAATAGCTCTATCCCAACTATTTGGACATTCTTCTCCATTCAAATATATTGAGAGCAACATATGTTAACTTTTGCCTATGCAGGACTTCATTCACAACTTCGAGCAATTTACCTTTAATTTGTCCTTTATCTGCTTATACTTTTTTTTTCATTTTATGTTGGCTTATTGGTGCATATTATACGTTTCTAGAATCTAGGCTATAAGAAAGGGCATAGCCCAACCATTAAACTCCCCAAAAATGAGATTGTCTGGGGAGAGGTTATAAGGCTATAAGAAAACATACCCTAAGAGACTTTTTTTTACTCAAACTCATGACCTCTAGGCCGCAACCAGCCAAGTTAACCAAAATTTCAAAACATGCCTTCTATTTTACAAGCCTAAACCACTCACTTTTCTAAACCTTGCCCTATATATGGTTGGTTATTCCCAAATCAGCTCTATTACAATCATTTTGCACTAAGTTTTCTAAAAGATTCATCGAATCATTTCCAGTTAGATCAACCTAAGATTTGCTGCTTCTAATTCAAGTTATAGAATTGCAAAATTCTATTTTATAAAATACAATCAATCTAAGCATAGATTATGGAAACGGAAAATTAACCGCAAATCTTTTTGAAAAATTTAGGGTCGCGGGCGCTAGAATCTGCTCTATCCATTGCCAATTATACATATTTTTTTATGACTGACTTGAAATCTGCTGGAAATTACGGTAAACTACATAACATCAATCAATTTCAATGAAATTAAACAATAACCACAATAAATCAGGAAAACATTACACAACTGCTGAAGGAGAAGAAATGACATATATTTTAAGCAGCTAACCTGGAGGGCGTCATGCCTCATGATGCTGTACTCTGGGCTCCGAATCTCCGTAACCCCATATCGCCGAGGCTTCTCCTGCCGATCTTCGTCCTCGCTAAAGCTCTTCCAGACGTAGTAACCTGCCATTTTCCTTCCAATGCGAATGACGTATCGATCGAACGACCGACTTGATCTCTTTTCGCTCCTTTAATTCGACATTGGAAGCTTTCAGGTGCATCTGGAAGCCTCTCTCATTTTTATACGCATGTTGGTGGACCAGAGTCCGGACACCGGCTTGAGCGTAACCATACGGTCACCGCTTTTTATGTAAGAATATCAGAAGGCCTTATGTAACGGCCCGTTAAAGGCCCTTTTATTTAAAGCTCGCTAACTATTTTATTTAACGGTAAAAATCTCACGAAATAAAACATTTTAGAGTTATATTATGTTTCTCTAATCATAATTAAAAAATTTGATATATTAATCATATATTATACACAGGCTTCGGCTTCATTTGGGACAGCTTTCTTATTACTTCTTAAGGTCTCGTTTGGGACGGCTTTTTTATTGCTTCTTAAAACAACTTCTTAGTACAAAACAATAAAATATAATAGTAGTCCCAAATGAAGCCTAAAGCAGCTTTCTAGAATAAATTTTTTAATTTTTGTACTAAAAAGTTATTTTAAGAAGCAGTAAAAAAGCTGTCACAAACGAAACCTTCATTTGAAAGAGTTTTTTATTGTTTTCTAAAACAGCTTTGTCATTTTTATTGGAGAGCTTGGCAGTGGATAAATCAATTTTTCTTGTTGGTGGATAAATCACCATGATATGTGTTTAGAACTTTTACATTTTCTATAATGCTATCATCATTGTTACCTTATTGGCAATCAATACATGGAATTTTTGTACTTTTTTTTTAATTATAGGTTTGAACATTTATGGAAAGATATTTTAAGAGGTCATCAAATTTAAATACATCAAAACCTACATATGAGATTAATAAAAATATGAGTGCAAAATGGAAAATGCATTTAAAGAGAGCCAGATTTGTCAAAAAAATATGGAAGTAAATCTAAAAAATCTTCCTTCTAATCAAGGATTACGGAATTCTATATATTATTGAGATTAATCCTAACATTCGATATGAAGTTCGTACAAAATATTTACAAAGAGGATCATTTCAGCCACACAGTCATGATTTTCCAAAAAAAAAAAATTGATATCAAAGAAAGAAGCTTTAATCATAATAGGTTTGGCAAATACTCTAATTTGTTAGAGTATATCCTATATAACAATATAAAGATTAAGCATATTGCTTATATTGTTATATTTTCAAAGCATTTGGTAGAGGAAATGAAGATGACTATGTTAGCAATATGAGAGGAGAGTTTAACGGTTTAAAAGTTCTGTTTTTTAATGAAAATAAATTAGTACCTTACATTCATTATTTCTCATATCAACTTCAATTAGCATTGGTATTAGTTGCAAAAATCATGTTTAAATTGTTTTGTTATTTACTTTTATTTCCATTGTGATGAATATTATTAGTATTTCATGTAAGTATTATGACCAGCATCAAGATTTACAATGAGAGAAAATGTTACATGAATTATATAGTGGAGAACTAAAAATAGGGGGCAAGAGTTGAATCAATAAATAACCCTTGGGTGTGTAGGTGATACACGATGGGGGTCATATTATGAATCAATTTTAAAGTTAATTATAATGTCCTCTTCAATTATTGATGTTCTATAAAATATTTTGAAAGGTAGTGTAAGCTCGAAACGAAGAGGCAAGGCATATGAGTTATTGACATTATTACAGACTTTTGAATTTTCTTTTTGCCTACTTTTGATAAAAGATATACTTGGTATCACTATTGAACTATCACATAATTTACATTAAAAAAATAATGTATTATAAATGTTATTTCTTTGATTCATATATTTAAATTGGGATTACAATATATGAGAGATAATAAGTGGGTTGAGTTCATCATCAAAGTAATTTTATTTTGTGAAGTACAAAAAATAAATGATCCACATATGGATGATAAATGGGTTTTACGTACGTGGTTCCTTGTCAAAACCTGAACCAGAGACCTGAATTAATGAGACGCAAACTGACAGTTTGACAGTTAATACAATTTCTATAATTATACTTTATAGTAATGGCTAACAATTCACAAACATTGAAGAGCCACTAAAAAATTATTTCATCATACTATTAATACAATTTTAACATCTTAATATTTATATAAATTATATATTACATGCTTTCATTTAACTATTTAAGCATCATCTTCTATAGACGTGCACCTCTCTTTCAATCTTTTTCACTTATTAGGAGATATATCTGAAAAATGTTAGTTTAATAGAGTGAGTTTACAAATTAACTCAATGGGTAATCACCATTTCATATATAATAGTTAGATATATCAAATGAAATATAAATATTTCTTTATCTTTCTTACGCAGCTAATATATGCATCTTCTTTCATATACTTAAATTTTTTAATTCATCTTTCACATAAATTCTTATTATTCTGTTTCACTTGTCCATTTTCATTTAACATTTATTCCATTTTTATTTTCATTAGTGCAGGAGCGCTATCCAATTGTATTAATAAATATATAACCATTTTCATTTCCTTTTTTATTTTCATTTAATGTGCACGGATATGTTGCTTCATCAGCCAATATAATACGGGGGTTAAAACCTTGTAATCTGCATGCATGTATATTTTCCTTGTTTTAATGTTTTCATTTCAATATAAACCATCATTTATTTTATTTCATTTTTCTTTACATATTATAGTAATTTGTAAGAATATTTTATTCATATCGGTATTTCTCAATAATGTAATCATTCTCAAGTTGGTTGTATGTTTAACATTGAATTATATTAAATATTTTAGGTGTATTATAATATTCTATAGAAATCATATATCAAATATTCCACCTTTCCATTTCTTTTGTTCTTCTCAATTAATGTATTCGTATATTAATCATCCAATCAACACAATACTATAATCATGTAGTAATTGCAATAACTAAAAGAAATTGAAATAACATAAAAAATAACTGGCATTTGCTATAATACAATAGAAATTACATGCTTAGAATATTTTTGTATGTTCAAATTCCTTTCAAATCTTTAATCCTCTGAAATATATCTCCAATACTCGTCTGGTCAGTATAAGAACCTTTAAGTGTTCATAATTACATAATATTTTAATTAATATTAAAATCTAATTTAGATATCTTAAATATCATAAAAAAAGAAATATTTAATTTTTCCACAATTTATTTCACTATCAATATTCATAATATAAAATTACCTCACAAAATATTTCCTTCCAATTGAACTTTTCCTTCCTTTACTGTGGAATTTAATCTAGCTTCGCTTAAATTCTTCCTATCGTCAATAATATTTTACTTCTTCAGTGAGAAAAATGATAATATAAATATTCTAAGTTGAATAACATCATATCAATAAATTAAATACTTAATATTTCTTCTACCATTAGAGAATAGAAGAAAACCCAAAACTTCAATTTGTTCCTCTTTCTCCTCCAACTTTTCTTCATTTACCTTTCGAGAAGATATTTTTAAATATTAAAGAAGAATTTATACATAAATGGAAAGAATTGACAAACAAACTTTCATTCTTCTTCTTCCTCTCGTTCACTGTCTCTTCTTTTGATTTTTACTTCTTTAGTGATAATGAATGTAGAGGATGAGTTATTCTTCATGAGGAGTCATCTGTTATCATTCTCGTACTCAAATATTTACTCAAAATGTGATTCAAAACTCCCTAGCCTCGGTCCGTCTCGCATTATGCCTGCTCAGGATGCGGCTTTGTCCATTGTTTCATCTCTGTTATAACAATAGGCTGGTTCAATTAAATCGGCAAAGCCCAGATATTACAGTCCTCATCGTAGAGCTCAAGACATGACAAATTATATCATTGTAGGCTTGAAATGTTCTATATAGTCATTGATATACAACTTCAAGAGCTGAACAACCGTTTTACAGAAGAAAATACCGAGTTACTTTTGTCTATTGCATGTTTAAATTCTAATAATGCATTTTCTATATTTTAATAAAGACAAGTCGATTAGAATGTAATAGTTTTATCCAATTAATTTAACTCCTTTTGCACAAATGATTTTTAAAAAATAGTTGGATACTTATATTATGAATATGTGCTCAGATGAAAAATTTTCTTCATCAAAGATATAGGAAGTTTTGCTGAGAAAATGATCCAAAGTAGGAATGATATTATGTATCCTTTTATTTCCAGGGTATTAAAATTGGTATTAATATTACATGTTGCAACATTAGGAGTCGAAAGATCGAGCATTCTCTGTCATGAATATTATAAAAAATTGGTTGTGAATAGAATTGAAGATTAATGAGTGAATGAAATATTAATTGATTATATTGAGAAATAATATTAGATTATATTTATAATGAAGCAATCATTCAACTCTTTTAGAATATGAAGAGCAAAAGCTTGATAAAAATAGTTGAGAAAATTTTTATCAAAATAAATTAAGGCCCCCACTGAAAAAGTATTATGGCTCTGTCATTGGGTGATGATGATCAAATGATGACAGTTAGATGATAATGGTGGGTTAAAGTGATTGTTTGCATTGAAGGTTAAGTAAAATTCTAAATTTTTTTGGATCTCCAAGCACTTTCTAAACTCAAGGATAGATCCTCTTTCATTATATGTAGTATTTTATGAGTTACATTTTTTATAAATTCAATCAAAATTCTACAACACATCATTCTATATTAAATGTTTAAATCAAAGACTATTTATTCAAAAAAATGACCTTGGAATTAAATGATATTGGGCTTATTAAATTTATCTCTTCAAGCCGTTTGATTTGACTATAAACATGTACGATTTTACAACTATTTGATTGTTCATTTAATGTCTTAGAATCATCCATTTTATTTCATGTGCCTTATTATTTGAGCTTAATTTGACTCAAATAAGATTAAATTTGGTGTCACCTTATCAATAAGTTCAATTTGACCACAAGTTTGCTGAAATAAGAGGTCAAAAAATTATGATTTTATCTTTGAAAGTTTTATACATATTATGCATTATGATTTATGCCAATCAATTGAATATTTTGGATCATTTAGTCTTTATTTTTGAACTTGAAGTTTATGTCATTTGAAAATATATCCAGTCTTCAAAAAAAAATTATAGCATAAAATT